TCTTAGCTGCAAAATATTTGTGAAGTTGTTTCCTGCTAAATCTTGGACATCTACCTCCTAGTGGAAAGAGTTGGATAAGCAGCATTCAGAGCCTCGCCTATACAATATACAAATTCAGGCATTAATAGTTACTAAATAGCAATGCAAGTTATCATGGATAATTCTCTGCTATTTACATAGCTCTTTGAGTCTTGTTTTAAAAGAGGAAAACAGTAAACAACAACATTTTTGCCTTTTACCTTCCAAGTTGGACTCAGTTGCATCTACACAGTACAATGAATGCAGTTTGACTCCACTTTAACTCTCATGGCTCAAGCCTCCTTGGCCCTAGCCCCGCCCCCCTGCGCCCCATTCATTGAGGACTCCAGGCCAGGGAATGTTGCATAAATATTGCGGCCCGCAGCCAATGGGAGCCGCGGAATGCCTTTCATTCAAGCAGCGCTGTGTAGGCGGGGCCGGCTCCGGCACCCATCCAATCCGAGCGCCGCTAGGGCGGGGCGTCCTCCCGCAAGGGCCAATCAGAGCGCTCGGAACCTGAACTTTTGCCACTCCGAAGAGTTAGTGAATACATTCCCGAGGGGGCGTGGCCCAGCCTCACTGACTCCAGAGGAGGGAGGAGGGTTAACTCTTCGCACGCCGGAGGGTCTTTTTTGGAATTACAAGGATTCTATGGCCAAAGAGGCGCTGACACATTCTTCCTCCTGGCCATGCGCCTGTACTTTAGAGGAGAGGCAGCATGGGCAATAGATCACAACCCTGGATGCTATAGATTCATGGGAGTTGTAGTTCAACCCAATGCTATAGGTTCATGGGAGTTGTAGTTCAACCCAATGCTATAGGTTCCTGGGAGTTGTAGTTCGACTCAATTCTATAGGTTCATGGGAGTTGTAGTTCAACACAATGCTATAGGTTAATGGGAGTTGTAGTTCGACTCAATTTTATAGGTTCATAGGAGTTGTAGTTCAACCCAACGCTATAGGTTAATGGGAGTGTAGTTCAATCCAATGCTATAGATTCGTGGGAGTTGTAGTTCAACTCAATGGCGTTGATTCATGGGAGTTGTAGTTCGACTCAAAGTCATGGATTCATGGGAGTTCTGGTTCAATCCAGTGCTATGTATTCATGGGAGTTATAGTTCAACCCAATGCTATGTGCTCGTGGGAATTGTAGTTTGACTCAATGCCATGGACTCAGTGCTCTTAATTCATGGGAGTTGTAGTTCGACTCAATCCTCTGGACTCATGGGAGTTGTAGTTTGTCTCAATGCTATGGACTCATGAGAGTTTGTTGCCGGTTGTAAGCCACCCTGAGTCCCCCCTCTGGGGCTGAGAAGGGGGGGCTAGAAATGTTGGAAATAAATAAATAAATAAATAAATAAAGAGTTGCAGTTCTATCCAATGCCATGGATTCATGGGAGTTGTAGTTTGACTCAATGCCCTGGACTCATGGGAGTTGTAGTTCTACCAAAAGCCATGGACTCATGGGAGATGTAATTCAACTTAATGCTATGGATTCCTGGGAGTTGTAGTTTGACCCAATGCTATGGATTCATGGGAGTTGTAGTTCGACTCAATGCTCTGGATTCATAGGAGTTGTAGTTTGACCCAATGCCATGGATTCATGGGATTCATGATGCTCAGCAGGGTCAGGCCAGGTTCAGACTTGGATGGGAGGCTGCCCATGAATCCCAGGGGCTGGAAGCTCTGTTTCAGGGGGGACGAACTGCCAAACCCACCTCTAAAGGTTTCCTGCTCTAAGAAAAACCTATGAAATGCCTGAGTTCCTCAGAGCCCTGACCTGTGAGAGAAGGCAGGCTATAAATACATGCAAACCTAATCATAATCGTGATAATGTCTGTGCATATGATTAATTTAGTAGATCAATGGCGATCTGCCCTGGCTTTGCAGGAGGAGATTCCTGGAAGGCTGGGCCCCGTCCCCCATTTGCCTCTCTCTGCAGTTTGCTCCAGTTGGAATGAAATGATAGGGACAAACTTCTCCATGGATGCATCTACACTGCAGAGTTAATGCAGTTTGGCACCCTCTTTCACTGCCATGGCTCAATGCTATGGGACCCTGGGTGTTGTAGTTTAGGTTGTAAAATTACAACTCATGTAACTCCATAGCACTGGGGCTGGATCTATACTGCATTAAAGGATCCCAGGTGAATTCTCCAAAGCCCAGGGCTGCAGATGGTACAGTGTGCCCCAAAATTCTGGTCTTCCAGATGTTTTGGACTTTAGTTCTCAGAATCCCTCATCCCTGGCCAAGGGAGCCGAGGTTTCTGGGAGTTGAAGTACAAAACACCTGAAGACCTGCATTTGAGAAGGTTGAGAGGAGATAGCAGAGCCTTGTTTACATATTTGAGAGGAGGCCATAAGGAAGAGGAAGAAGGCTTGTTTTCTGCTGCCCTGGAGACTGGGACTCAATGGAGCCATGGGTTCAAATGACAAGGAAGGAGATTCCACCTGAATTGTTTATCAATGGAACTCTCTGTCTCGGAGTGTAATAGGCTTTGAAAGAGGGGCTGAGTGGCCCTCTGTCGGTGGTGCTTTGATGGTGCTTTTCCTGCCTGGCAGAATAAAGGGTGTTGGACTGGATGGACTCTGAGGGTCCCTTCAACTCTGGATGGATTCTAAGGATCTTATCGCCTGATTGCTCCATTAACCTGCTTGTAGTCTTTGATGCTGGTTGGCCATCTGTTGAGAGGGCTTTGATGGTGCTTTTCCTGCATGGCAGTGAAAAAGTGGTTGGTCTTGATGGCCTCTGAGGATCCTTTCCAGCTCTATGCGTCTAAGATTCTATAGTGTTATGTCCTGTTGGGAGGGCTTTGGCAGAAAGAAGGGGGCCAGACTGGATGCCTCCCCCCAAGGGTCCCTTCCAAGGGTCCCTTCCAACTCTAGGATTCTATAGCCTGATGTCTCCATGAACCTGCTTGTAATATTTTATGCTGGTTGGCCAAATGTTGAGAGGGCTTTGTGTTTTTCCAGCCTGGCAGAAAGGAGTGGGCCAGACTAGATGGCCCCTGAGGGTCCCTTCCAACTCTAGGATTCTATAGCCTGATCCCTCCATGAACCTGCTTGTAGTCTTTGATGCTGGTTGGCCATCTGTCGGGAGGGCTTTGATTTAGTTTTTTTCCTGTCTGGCACAAAGAAGCAGGTTGGACTGGATAGCCTCTGAGGCCTCTTACATATAGCTGAATAAAATGCCATAATATCTGCTTTGAACTGGGATAGATGGCAGTGTGGGCCCAGTTCAAAGCAGATACTGTGGGTTATTCTACTTTGATATTCTGGATTATATGGCTATGTGGAAGGGCCCTAAGAGTCCCTTCCAACTCTAGGATTCTCTCCCAAAGGATATAAATGTTTCACCAAGTGACAATCCCCAGGATCCCATAGTATTGCTGTGTTTTAATCTCTGTCCTGTGTTTTTAATACGTACTTTATGGAAATGTGTTTTAATATGTATATTTTATAGAACTAGGTTTGAATGTGTGTGTTTATAGAATTTTTGCAATATTTGTGCATTTTGACTGTGCCATGACCTGCCATGAGGAGAGGCAGGTAAGAAATAAATTTACTATTACTATTATAGTAATATTATTATTTCCAATATTATTATTGCACCATGGCATTCAAGGCACGATGCTACAGGCCCCTTCTACACTGCCATATAATCCAGATCATCAAAGCACATAACCCACATTACCTGCTTTGAACTGGGTTATATGAGGCCCCATCTACATTGTCATATACAATCCAGATTATCTGCTTTGACCTGGATTATATGGCAGTGTAGACTCATATAATTCAATTCAAAGCAGATAATCTGGATTTTATATGGCAGTGTAGATGGGGCCACAGAAAGAGTCGGGGCCTTATGGAGATGCTTCTCCACTGGCTGCACTCTGCACATGGGCAGGAGAAGAATGTCAGGGAGTTGAAAAAACCCCTGCTGGGGTCTTCTAGGGGCCCTTCCAAGGCCCTTCCACATAGCCATATAACTCTGGCCCCTTCCACAACTGAATAAAATCCCACATTTTCTGCTTTGAACTTGAATATATGTCAGTATAGACTCCACTTAGGGCCCTTCCACAAAGTCCTATATCAGGGCAGAAAATCCCACAATATCTACTTTGAACTGGATTACCTGAGTCCACACTGAGATAATGTGGGATTTTCTGCCTTGATATTCTGGGATATAGAGTTGAATGGAAGGGCTGGTATTCTGACCCCCAGAATATCAAGGCAGATAATCCACAATATCCACTCTGAACTGGGTTATTGGAGTCCACACTGCCATAAAATGCAATTCAATCTGGATTTTATACATCTGTGTGGAAGGGGCCCCAGACAGGCCCTATATCACAGGATCTGATCCCAGGTTTTCTGTTTATTTATCCCAGATTATCTGGCAGTGGGGACTCTGGGCCTTTCCACAGTCCTATATCCTAGAATATCAAGGCAGAAAATCCCACAATATATGCTTTGAACAGGGTTATTTGAGCCCATACTCAGATAATGTGGGATTTCCTGCCTTGATATTCTGGGATATAGGGTTGTGCGGAAGGGCCCACGGAATATCAAGGCAAATAATCCACAATATTCGCTTTGAACTGGGTTATTGGAGTCCACACTGCCATAAAATGCAATTCAACATGTAGCTGTATGGAAGGGACCCCAGGCAGGCCCTATATCCCAGGATCTGATCCCAGGTTTTCTATTTATCCCAGATTATCTGGCAGTGGGGACTCATATAATGCAGAAAGCCTGGGTTCAGATCCTGGGATATAGGGCTTTGCACTGCATTTTCCCCCGAAGCCTTTCCTTCCCCTGAATGGAAGGGGAATCCTAGGAAAGGAAAAGCAGGAGAAGCCCCTTGTTTGTGTTTTGAAGGGGGAGGCTCCTTTTGGCCCCTCATAAAAAGCCTGGAGAAGGGAGGAGAGTCAGGAATGGCTTCTGCCTCCTTTCTCCTCCTCCTCCTCCTCCTTCTTGGGGCCCTTCTTTTCTTTTTTCCCCTTCTTTTCCCCTCCCTTCTTCTCCTTGAAGAGTTAAGAAACTCGAGCCCTTGTTTGCGCAACAGCCGGGCCAGCCCCGCAGCCGCCAAAGTGTCTAGACTGGCACATGATGGGAGGGAGCCAATGGCTCCAGCGCTCGCCCAGGGGGCCCTCCGGTGAGTGGGGTGTGTGAGTGCGGCTTGGAGGAGAACAAACAACACCAAAAAGGAAAAAAAGAAAGGAGAGAGGGGTTGAGAGAAGAAGGAGGGAAAGAACGCACCGCGCGCAAGAGAAGAAAGAAACAAGAGGAGGAGACTCCGTGCGCCCTCGGTTACGCACGGCTTTGGGGCGCAAAAGAGGCTCGTACAGGCTTTTGGGGACCTTTAAAGAAGCAAGGAAGTTGTGGGGGAGCCTTAGGGGAGTCTTGGGGAGCCCTTCCCTCCTCTTTTCCCGAGCTCCCTGCCTTCCAAAGCGGGGATTTCCTCCTCTTTGCTTCCTCCCCCCATCGCCGGGATATTGACAAGCCTCAACCCGAGCCATGTGCGCCTCCGGGGCGATGCCGCTTTGGGAGCCCCTTTTCCTCCTCCTTCCGCCCTACTTTCGGGGGAAAGACACCCGCTGGTAAAGGGGAACTTCCCCTTCCCTTTGGACCTCTCTATTTTGGGGAAACTTAACGCCTCGGAAGCCGAGGAGAGGAACCAAGTCGGGAAAGTATCCACAACAAAGCCTGCTCTGGGAGAAGAGAGCTCAACCTTCGGAGGTGGACTTGCTGCATTTTTCTCCCTTCCTTTTGGGTTTTTTCATTCAACTTTTAAGGTGTTTTTGGAAGGCTTTTCAAACCAAAGCACCAAGGCTTTCTGCAGTTGTGAGTTTGGACCTGTTTCTATTTCCTCTCCTTTTTTTCTTTTGGAAGGCAGCTTTGTGTGGAGTTTTCGAAGGAAGAAGCAAGGCTCTCCTCCAGAAGCACCAAGCCTTTCTTGCAAAGAGAGTTGGAACCTGCTTGTCTTTCCCCCTTTCCTTTTGGGAAAGTCCAAAACAAGGGCCAGAAACCGACCGAGGGAAGAATCAAACCCCTTTACCTTGTTTTGAGGTTTTTGGAGGAAAGGGAACACTTTTTGGAACCCTCAAGCCCCCCTTTTTTGTTTGGAGTCCTAAGTTTTCCTTCCATCTTGGGAAGTGTCTTTTTCCAGTTTTCATTTAGAAGGATTGGGAGGGAAGTCGGACTTTGTGTTATCCAAAGTGGGACCTGCTTTTCCCTCCTTCCTTTTTTGGGAAAGGAAGAAGCTTGAAAGGAAGGAAGAAACAGGCGAGGAAAGGAGTCTGCTGCTAAGCCTCCCTGCTTGAAGAAGCTTGGAAGGAAGTAACAAACTACTAAGCCTCCCTGCTTGCTTTGGGAAGCAGACTTTGGGGAAGGAATACAGGAAAAACTTGGAAGGAAGGAAGAAACAGGCGAGGAAAGGGCACCACCACCAAACCTCTCTGCTTAGTTTGGGAAGCCAAGGAAGAAACTACAACTAAGGCTTCCTGCTAGATTTGGGAAGCAGACTTTGAAGAAGGAATACAAGAAGAAACAGGCCAGGAAAGGGAGTTACAACTAAGGCTTCCTGCTTGGATTAGGAAGCAGACGTTGGGGAAGAAAGAATGGAAGAAACTTGGAAGGAAGGAAGAAACAGGCGAGGAAAGGGGGCCAGTAACTAAGCCTGTTAGCTTAGTTTAGGAAGCCAACTTTAGCGAAAGGATAAAGGAAGAAACAGGCAAGGAAAGGGAGCTACTACTAAGGTTTCCTGCTTTGTTTGGGAATCAAACTTTGGGGATGGAATAAAGGAAGAAACAAGCGAGGAAAGGGGACTACTACCTAAGCCTAAGCCTTACTTCCTTTGGGAAGCTGACTTTGGGTAAGGAATACAGGAAGAAATTTGGAAGGAAGGAAGAAACAAGCCAGGGAAAGGAACTACAACCAAGCCTTCCTGCTTGCTTTGGGAAAGGAAGGAAAGAAGAAACGGGAGAGGAAAGGGGACTACTACCTAAGCCTTCCTAAGTTTGGGAAGCAGACTTTGGGGAAGGAATACAGGAAGAAACTTGTAAGGAATAAAGGAACAGGCGAGGAAGGAGGACTACTAACTAAACCTTCCTGCTTGGTTTGGGGAGCCGACTTTAGGGAAAGGATAAAGGAAGAAACAAGCGAGGAAAGGGGACTCCTACCTAGGCCTCCTTGCTTAGTTTGGGAAGCAGACTTTGGGGAAGGAATACAAGAAGAAAAACAACCAAGGAAAGGAGACCACTCGCCCTAAGCCTCCCTGCTTGGTTTGGGAAGCCACCTTTCTCTTTGGGCACCGACTCCGGGGCGCCTTTCCCCGATGCGCCCTTGGCCCGGCCTCCCCTCCCTCTTCCTCTTCCCCTTCCTCTCCCGGGGGGCCAGGCTCCCTTCGCGTCCGCCCCTCATGCGGCCCCGATCCCCGCGCATTGCTTGACCCCGAGGCGCATGTTCCGGTCCAAACGGGCCGGGCTGGTGCGGCGCCTTTGGCGGAGCCGGGTGGCTTTCCACGGAGGAGGAAGAGGAGAGGAAGGGGCTGCCCATGAAGGCTCGCCAAAGCCTCCTGCTTCCTCTCGAAGGGCCTTGAGGAAGGAAGGCGCCGAGGAGGAGGAGGAGGAGGAAGAGACTTGGGAAGGCGAGGAGAGCGAGGCGGAGGAGCCCCCGGCGGAGGAGGAAGGGCAGAGCTTAGCTTGCTGCCTCTTCAAGGAAAGGGAAGGCGGAGAGGGCGCCCTTCCGACTTCCACTTCCTCCACTTTTCCGCTTCTGGAGCCAGAGCTGCAAGCGGCCGCTTATTCGCTGCTCAAGAGGCTCAAGGAGCGCGCCTTGGACAGTCTCTTGGAAGCGGTGGAGTCCCGAGGAGGGATGCCCGGCGCATGCGTGCTCCTGCCCCGAGGAGGACTCGCAGGGAAGCCCTTGCCTTCTGCTTCGTCTTCATCATCTTCTCCTCTTCCTCCGCCGCATCTCCTCCTCACCAAGCTCTTCCGCTGGCCGGACCTGCAGCACCCGGGCCAGCTCAGGCGCCTCTGCCGGGGACAGGGCTTCGGAGCAGGGCCCAACGGCGAGGGGCCACTTTGCTGCAACCCCTTCCACTTCGCCAGGCTCTGCGGGCCAGGTAAGCAAGGGCTCTTGATGGGCTCCAATCCCACAAAGTCTAAGTCAATGGTTTTCAGAGCCAGGTAAGCAAGGGCTCTTGATGGGCTCCAACTTCCCTCAAAGTCTAAGCCAATGCTTCTCAGAGCCAGGCAAGCAAGGGCTCTTGATGGGTTCCAACTTCCCTCAAAGTCGAACTCAATGGTTCTCAGAACCAGGTAAGCAAGTGCTTTTGATGGGCCCCAGCTTCCCCCAAAGTCTAAGCCAATGGTTCTCAGAGCCATGTAAGCAAGGACTCTTGATGGGCTCCAACTTCCCTCAAAGTCTAAGCCAATGGTTCTCAGAGCCAGGTAAGCAAGGGCTCTTGATGGGCTCCAACCCCACAAAGTCTAAGTCAATGGTTCTCAGAGCCAGGTAAGCAAGGGCTCATGAGCTCCAGCTTCCCTCAAAGTTTAAGCCAATGGTTCTCAGAGCCAGGTAAGCAAGGGCTCATGATGGGCTCCAGCTTCCCATAAAGTCTAAGCCAATGGTTCTCAATCTGTGGGTCCCATAGATGTTTTGGCCTTCAACTCCCAGAAAGTCCCAACAGCCAGTAAACTGGCTGGGATTTCTGGGAGTTGAAGGCCAAAACATCTTAGACCAGGTATGGGCAAATTTCAGCTCTCCAAGAGTTTTGGACTACAACTCCCAGCATTCCTCAGGCCCTTTCCTTTTTCCCCTCAGCCCCTTAAGGAAGGGGCCTGAGGCTGTTAGGAATGCTGGGAGTTGTAGTCCAAAACTCATGGAGGGCCAAAGTTTGCCCATTCCTGCCTTAGACTAAGCTTTCTGAATGCCACCTAGTGGCTGTTTGAGGCATTGTGCCTGCCTTAGACTCTGCCAGTGCTTCTCAACCTGTGGGTCAGAACTCCTGGGTGGGTCATGAGGCGGTGTCAGAGGGGTCACCAAAGACCATCAGAAAACACAGTATTTTCTATTGCTCACGGGAGTGCTGTGTGGGAAGCTTGGGCCCAATTCTATCGTTGGTGGGGTTCAGAATGCTCTTTGTAGGTGAACTATAGATCCCAGCAACTACGACTCCCAAATGTTAAGGTCTATTTTCCCCAAACTCCACCAGTGTTCACATTTGGGCACTTTGAGTATTTGTGCCAAGTTTGCTCCAGATCCATCATTGTTTGCGTCCACAGTACTCTCTGGATGTAGGTGAACTACAACTCCAAAATTCAAGGTTAATGCCCACCAAATCCTTCCAGTATTTTCTGTTGGTCATGCGAGTTCTGTGTGCCAAGTTTGGTTCAATTCCATCGTTGGTGGAGTTCAGAATGCTATTTGATTGTAGGTGAACTATAAATCCCAGCAACTACAACTCCCAAATGACAAAATCAATCCCCTCCCTAACCCCACCAGTATTCAAATATGGGCATATTGGGTATTTTGGTGGCAAATTTGGTCCAATGAGTGAAAATACATCCTGTATATCGGATATTTACATTACTATTCACAACAGTAGCAAAATTACAATTATGAATTAGCAACGAAAATAATGTTATGGTTGGGAATCACCACAACTTGAAGAACTGGCTGGGATTTCTGGGAGTTGGGTCACGGCATTAGGAAGGTTGAGAAACACGGTTCTAAGCCAATGGTTCTCAACCTGTGGGCCCCCAGGTGTTTTGGCCTACAACTCACAGCAATCCCAGCCAGTTGACCAGCTGTTAGGATTTCTGGGAGTTGAAGTCCAAAATACCTGGAGGAGAAGTTGTGAGAAACACTCCTTTGGATGGGTGAAGCAGAGCTGTCAGCTGCACAATGCCGCAAACAGCCACTAGGTGGCATTTGGAATCCTTGGCAAGGTGTCCAAATGCCACCTAGTGGCTGTTTGAGGCATTGTTCAGCTGACAGCTCTGCTTCATCTATCCAAAGCAGTGTTTCTCACAACTTCTCTACCAGGTGTTTTGGACTTCAATTCCCAGAAATCCCAGTGGTTAGGGATTGTGAGAGTTGAAGCCCCAATTCTCAGAAGAAGCACAGTTTGAAGAACTCTGATCCAAAGCGAGTGGTCCGATTGCCTAGCAGGTGTGGTGTTCATTTTCAGTACTGGCCATCCCCAAGTTACAAACAAGATTGGTTCTGTAGGTGTGTTCATAAGTTGAATTTGTATCTAAGTTGGAACAGGTACTTTTTAAATTGTAACTCCAGCTGAATATATATGATGTAGGAGCCCCCGGTAGCGTAGTGGGTTGAACTTGCTTACTGAAAGGTTGGCGGCTCAAATCTGGGGAGCGAGGTGAGCTGCTGCTGTTAGCCCCAGCTCCTGTCAACCCAGCAGTTTGAAAGCATGCAAGTGTGAGTAGATCAATAGATAACTCTTTAGCGGGAAGGTAACAGTGCTCCATACAGTAATGTTGGCCACAGGTTGACAGGAGCTGTTAGCCCCAGCTCCTGTCAACCCAGCAGTTCGAAAGCATGCAAATGTGAGTAGATTAATAGGTAACTCTTTAGCGGGAAGGTAACAGTGCTCCATACAGTAATGCCGGCCACGTGACCTAGGAGGCGTCTATGGACAATGCCAGCTCTTCGCCTTAGAAATGGAGATGTGCACCAACCGCCAGAGTCAGACACAAATGGACTTCATGTCAAGGGGAAACCTTTACGTTACCCTTATCTTATAAATAAATATAATTATTGTTGTTATTATTATTATTTTACATCAAGGACCACCATGTTACTATAGCGTGATATTATACATAGTGGGACTTCATCATGGGGATGTGGGAAGTGGCCCATCTTTGGTTGTGTTGATGCCTCCAATATTGAAGGCAGAACCTGTGGATAAACAGAGCCTGCTGTACAAACATATGTGTGCTATATAAGTATGTTTGCACAAGGCCCTCCGTATCAACAGAGTCTGCATTCCGAGATTGAGAATACACCCCCCTCCCCCCGCACAGAAGGTCAAAGTATATGTCTGTTTGTACCACAAAGGCTGTTACTAGGTGAAGTGGCCTTCTGTGATGTCACCAGAGTGGCTGCTGCTGGGTGAAGTGGCCTTTTGTAGTGTCACCGGACTGGCTGTTGCTGAGTGAAATGACTGTGATGTTACCAGACTGGCTGTTGTTGGGTGAAGTGGGCCTCTGTGATGTCACTGAACTGGCTGTTGCTGGGTGAAGTGGCCCTCTGTGATGACACCAGACTGCCTGTTATTACGTGAAGTGGGCCTCCCTGTGATCTCACAAGACTGGCTGTTCCTAGCTGGCCTTCTGTGTTGCTACTGGGCTGGGTGCTTCTGGGTGAAGTGTCCCTTTGTGATATCACTGGATTGGGCATTGCTAGGGGAAGTAGCCCTCTGTGATGTCACTGAGAAAGAAAGGTGACATGTTTATAAGAAAGAGGGCAGGAGCCTCAAACAGCCATGTTACTATAGAGACATGATGAGGTAGGTAGGAGAAAAGGATAAAGGGGAAGGGAAGGAAGGAAGGAAAGAAAGAAAGAAAAAAAGAGAAGGAGAAAAAGAAAAGAAAGAAAGACATGGAGAAGGAAGGTAGGGATCAGGGAAGAAAGGAAAACAAGGGAAGAGAATGAGAGTATCCATGGATTTGGATATGGGTGTGTGTCTTAAACCAAACATGGCAGAAGCAGGTTGGACTGCGTGACCCTTGGGGTCTCTTCCAACCTTACAAATCCCAAGATTTCCATAGCATTAAGTCAGGGTGATTCATGTGCCGTCAATCCACATTCATTCTGCATTGGAGAGGCGATCTAAACGTTGCAGAGATGGCCTTGGAAAACAAGGCCCAGAAACGCCTTTACTTGCATATTAGATTGTAGCCTAAATTAGGGAGAGGGCTCAGGCTCTATTTATGTACATTAGAGTCCCTTTATATAGGGTTACACACTGAGCTAGGAAAAGTTACTTTTGAGGACTGCAGCTTCCAGAATCCTATGCTCTTGTTGGCTTCTAGGTTTTGCAGACCCCAAAAAGGAACTTTTTAAAGGGGTGTTCAATTCTGGGCACCACAATTGAAGGGAGATGTTGACAATCTGGAATGTGTCCAGAGAAGAGTGACTAAAATGATCAAGTCTGGAGAACAAGCCCTATGAGCAGTGGCTTAAAGAGCTGGGCATGTTTAGCCTGAAGAAGAGAAGCCTGAGAGGAGACATGCTAGCCATGTATAAGTATGTGAGAGGAAGTAATAGGGAGGAGGGAGCAAGCCCTAGAGACTAGGATGCGGAACAATAACTTCAAACTACAAAAAAGGAGATTCCATCTGAACATTAGGAAGAACTTCCTGACTGTGAGAGCTGTTCAGCAGTGGAACTCTCTGCCCCAGAGTGTGGTAGAGGCTCCTTCTCTTCTCTATAAAGTGGTGTCCAACTGCATTCATTCTACAGTGTAGATGCATCCCATGCTGCCAGACTGACTGCTGGGAAATGGCTCTTGTACCTTTAATGATTTCAGCAGGCATTGCGTGGTACCCATTTGGAATCCCATCATTAAAGGTACAGGCGCCCCTTTCTCATTTTCCATTTGGCAGCCCTTCCTTTCATATCTGTGCTTGGAGATCCATGATTGCAAACTGGAGAGGGATCCTATGTTTTTATATGTTCAGAAGGAGAGTGGATTTGCACAAATGTTGCTTGTTATCTCCTTGAAATAACGCCACAGGAGCCCTCTCCAGTTTGCATGTTGGCAGCCTTTGATCCAATTTTGCCTGCAGAATGGCGTAGGGTTGGGCACACGTTCCTGTTTAGTTGAAATCTGTGTTTTCCAAACACACTGACATTTTTATCCTCTCAAAGGCCTTATCCGTTTGGGCCAATGCTGCCTTGAAGTCCTGTCCCATCAGATGCCGAAGAAAGAGCCCAAATTGGAGTGACGGCTGGAAAGTGGCTTTGAAGGCAAATGAATGCCTGTAATGACACCCGGGCTGTTCCATATTGGGTGGCTGAAGCATATTATTATATTTCATTTGTCGTAAAAGCAACTTTCCAAGTGCTGGCCCTGTCCGTCTCGCTCCTTGTGGT